GCACGCTGTGTGTAAAGTGTCTGCGCATCACATAAGTAAATATTTCTCAACGGTATTATTTGGGTCTCATTTGTAAATATTGAATTTTATTAGTAATTATTTCTACTCGCATACTTGGGAGATCAATTAATGAACAAACAGGAGGAGTCGGTATTGAAAGTAACATTTTTTGTTTTCATAGGATAAAAAGCGTTGTTACTTCTTACCCCATTGGGGTAAAAAGTTACAACGTGCCTCGGTCTATTCAAATGATTATCATAACATCTTTAGAAATTGAATTAACGACATTTAATTGCTGTGAAACTATTCTCGAATCTCCTCCTCATTTGTGAATTTGAAATCTATAGCAAATATAGACTTTGTTTTATCTTATGAAAACAAAAAAATGTTACTTTTAACCCCGGCCTCTCCCATATGAAAAGAGGGGTCGCCCCGAAAACGAGAGCTACAGGGTCACCACCGGCCACATCGCCGCTCCGTCCAGAAAAGTCATGTGCGAAATTCGAGTGTGCGAGGAGTAAGCGCGCACGGGAGTGTGTGACACATAGTCGCCGACGCGGGCCGGGTTCTCGGAGTCTCCGTAAATTACAGAAACTCTCGCACGATGGTCGCGGCCGTAAATACTTGGTTATCATAGCCGGCGGAAGCACGACGGCGGCATTATACCTGCATTCACCGTTCATCGTGGTCAGAGATGGCGGCGCCACGCTGGACGGGGCGCTCAACGTTTCCATTCATCGGTGTGGATATCAAATGCAATAGTTCATGGCGATGCTTCCGACTAGGTGGTCGACCAGTCCTCGACCTCTACCTCCTCTCCTAATCCAACCGTCCCAGCGTTTCACACCGGTCCCTGGCAGATTTACAGGCGCCCGGCTTGATATCTGCATCCGAGAGCCGCCCGTACTAGATGCACGTGTTCCGAGTCTCCTCTCCCTCTCTCTCTCTCTCTCTTTCTCTCTCTCTCTCTCTGTCTCTCTCTCTCTCTCTGTACTTTCCGTCACACCGGTGACTTTGAAGCAGCGTCATCTGAGATAATTAACCGAGTAATCGACGCGGTCGAATCTGGGATTAAAGGTCGACGGCTGAGAGACGGTTCGTTAATGAAGCTCCGTGCGCCTTTCGTTCTCGAGTATCTTCCAGCTTAACGAGATGTATCAGCCATTACCATTTTCCCGTCTTTTTCTATATTTTCATCATCACGTTTTATTATTTATTTACTCATCTTTACTTTAATTGACTTTCTTAAATGAGAGAAATTGACGATGACTTGACAAAATTTTAATGAAGATAGAATAAAATTATTAAAATCTGTTTAAATTTATCGAGCAGAAGAACATTTTAGTTATTCTCGCACGACCTTTTCCTAATAATACTAGATATAAACTCCTATCAGATTACATATTTGAAGATTGTGAATTGCGAATTGGAGATTAGAATTTAATCAATCAAAGAACAAAACGGATTAAAATTACAATTGTCTAAATTGAATTTTAATCTTCAATTTGTAATCATTAATCTCCAATGCGTAGTCTGATACGGGCTTTATTGGTACGATACACGAATATAACAAATTGATATAATCTGTAATTTCAATGATCTATATAGATAATACCTCATCAGACGTCTTTTCTTTGTTTCTGCCCCATAGCTCACTAAGTGCGAAAAGAGAAGAAAGCGTTTTATACTCAGTAAGAGTAAATTTTTAATGCTTTTTCAAAAAGTTTTACATTGAAGGAATGCGCAACATATATAATTTTTATCACAGATGAAAGCTGTTTTGCCCCTTCTTTTTCACTTTCCGAGTGATAAAGTATCATCTCGCCTTCTAGATGACACCCCACCATCGGCCCGTGTATCAGCCGCGTGGAGTGATAAATAAAATAACATACTCTAGTGCCCTATAAAAGGTTGATATCTAAGCGCTGCTATGGCAGCGCGAAACGTCTCTCCGGCGCGACATTTATTCACGCCTGAAGCGGAATCGAGAAAGGGGCAGATCGTTGAAATTGCAATCGTTCGAGCAGGTATAACAAGTCAATGAAGCAAATTCGCGATCCGCGAGTGAGCTAGCCAGTCTGCAGCTGTCCGAATTTCATCATTTGCCGCACGCGCGTGCACGGCAAATTTAATCGGACCGTTAAGAAAAATCCGATTCTCCACGCTTGAAAAAAGCGCCTGGGCGAGGGCTATATTCGCGTGACGTGGCCAGGGGCGCAGAGGTGCAGGTCGCGTTTTGCCGATTTGCGCGCTCGTATAATTTCTTGCGCGCCTTTTGCGAACGCCATACGCACGAGTTATCCATACGGACAGTCGGCGCGGGCGGCGCGGCGGCGACGCGGATGCGGCGTTATATTCTCGCCGCATTCTCGCGGCGCGCTGGTACAGCATTCGTGCTGCGCGCTCACAACGTCCGGTTGCATCCTCGTATCTTCAAAGGCGCGGGATAATGGAATTGCTATTTCAGTGGGTAAAACATTTATTCCCGTGGATACCGCTCACGTTATAATTTCTGGGACGACATGCATGCGATGTTTGGCGCCCCGGGGGCGAACTCCGCGCAATTGTCGGTCGAGGGAGATGATTACTTTAAAGAACGCCGGCAGCGCAACTCTCTCTTTTTTTTCTCTCTCTCTCTTTCCTCCCCTCCCCTTGCCCGCGCCTCGTTCGCGAGCTCGAACCCCACAAAGAAAGCGCGCTGATCGCGTAATCGAATGTTACGCTTGAGAGGAGCGCGTGCGGCAGCGCGCGCGATCGCAAACGATGGCGCGGCGGAAAAATGTTAAGAATGCCTCGTCGATTTATTTAATGTCAATAATGTCTGTGTCACTATTCTCTCCGCCGCGCGCGGCAATACGCGGAGGCGGGCGCAATGTGAGAAGCAAAGGGCGCGCATAACGATGCACAACAAACGTTATACACGTACACTGCTACGGGCTTTTCTTAATTAATTCGCCGATTGCGTTGTGCAACAATCGCACGTTGATACTCGCGGAGCGACTTTTGCAAAAGCGACGACAATAAAGGGAAGCGATTTAATTGACGATGGTTACCACGGCGGATCTGTGGTATTGATCTGTGTACGCGGATTCATTACCGAACGCACGTTGCGGGAAAAAAAATCTTTCGCAAAAAAGAGTCTAGGTTGCTCGCTTGCTTGCAATTTGCCGTTAATTTCGTGACCTGTGTGTAATTTCCACAACGTCATAATTCATCGTGGTTTATTTCGTATCATGCAGTGGCTCGATACGCACCACTCCGTCTCTCGCTTCTAAATTACTATAAATTACTTGATCGACCTGCCCCGGACGGGGCGAAAACAGTATGCAACAAACCAAGGGGGGGGGGGCAATTATCTGTGAAACTTCGTTATACGGGACACGGGGCGCGAATAACTCGCGAATAAAAGAGCATTAAACTGTTGGAATAATATAATAACGGAATGGCCGTCCGCCTCATCCCCCCTCCCTTTCCCGGATGATCCCGCGCGGCGTTTTATTTCACCAACGAAACGACCGCGCCCCCGTGAAAAATTATAATTGATATGGACGGAACGGAAACCGAGGGGGAATAATCCGAAGGCGAATGCCAGTGGAAAGGTAGACGGCGGGAAAAGAATCGCCGGCCCGTTGAACTGGAATACAAAAGTCGGCTGGAGACTTATGAATTAAGGGATCCGACCGCGCGCCGCGGTACGTTTCACGGGAAAAAAAAGGGGGACGGCTCTTTTCCTTAACGAGAATGCACATCTCGAATACGTATTGTTAACGTGTGATTAATAACTGCGTTTTATTACAGCGTTAAAATGCTCAAGTGAATAAAATACTCCAATTTAATTGCTATATTCTGTACAAATTTTAAAACGTTTTAAAATATAACGCAGAACACATGAATGCTGCGACAGTTTTATTTATCTAATATATCGACTGTTAAATTGCGTATTAAAACTATTAAAATTATTTTCTATGCTGTGCATAAAAAAATCAGAGAACAAAGAAACAGACACATATAGGGGAGACCGTGACTCGTTGACACAATTTTCACAATTTAGGCATTCAATTTTTTAAACAACTCTTTATTATATAATTAAACTATACTAATATGATAGAAAGAGCTTTTCTCTATCATGTCAGGAACGATTCTGTATACTGTACAATTTCTTTGTAATACGTGAAATACGAACATGTTACATTGTAGCCAATTTACCCCAATATAGTGGGATAAATTGATATCACGATGTAAGTTGCTTAAACGAAAAACTTTATATTAAATTAATGGGCACATAATAGAAGTAAAATCAGGTCGCAGATATGTATTCCTTGAAAAAAGATTGCATCTTTTAAAGTTATTTAGTAATGATCAAATAGCAAAATGCTGTTATAGAAAAATAATTGTTAACTATTTTAGATGTAGCCTGCTCCACAGAAATATTGAATAAAAATCATTTTGTCATAATTAAATTCTAATTGAAAGGTCACACGCTTATTACAGTAAGTCAAGCTAAGCTTGTCTTAAGTATGAGCCAACGTGCCCCATTCTTACAGAATATAAGTAAATCATATAAATTAAATAATTTTATTTTGCACAAATTACGATTAATTCTCAAAATAACATGTCGTACAGTAATGGAAACTTTTCTTTTAATTGCTAATATGTCACTTAGATTTACTCTCTCGAGGTAAGAAACATTAATGTGAAATTTTGAAACGCTTAAAAATTTATTTGCCTCCTTTCGAATCAGATTTTTCTCTCTCTTTATTGAAATATTTATTTGATTTAAACAAAACTCAGAGAAAAGTTATGTTATTAAAGAATATGTTAATAAAGAAATGTTTTACGGTAATTTTTCCATTTCTTTAACCATAAATATTTAAACGGAACGCAATGCCAACTTACCTCTTGTGTCAACGAGCTCCGGTCTTCTCTACTTTAAAAAGAAACGAATTAACTATTTATAATGTCGTGTCATATGTAATAATATTAGTTACCTTATTTTTCAGGTGGCATGGCTGCGTGTCGATACGCAAACCATTTTAACGATAGCGAGCCACGTGATCACGAAGAATCACAGGATCGCGGTTTCCCACAGCGACCACCGAACGTGGTTCCTTCACATACGGGAAGTGCGAGAGTCCGATCGAGGCTGGTACATGTGTCAGATAAACACGGATCCCATGAAGAGCCAGATCGGTTATCTCGAAGTGGTCGGTGAGTAAGGAAGCTGGCGTTCTCTTTCTCCATATATTAACGAACTGGTTGCAATTATTCCGATTACTTCCGTTCGTTCTCACGTCGCGCGTAAAGACTTCCGCATAGAATATATAAATATAATAGTAATTACGTGTTCCGTTATTTTTCGCCAGACTGATTTATCGTCCTTCTTTCGTTTGTATTATTATAAACTATTCCCATTCATTTATTATTATCGCCGTCTAACAGCTGCATTAACGGAAATTAGAACGAACGTTATAGGGAAAATAACAGACTCGAAATAAAGTCGCTTCATTTCCTCACGATATCAATTCTCGTCCACCAGCTTTATTGTATCGTAGGCCCCCTCCCCCTCCCTCCCTCTCTTTTCCCCCTTGCTCCCGTTCGCCACTCGACCGCTAGATATTCAATTAGCGCTACAAGAAGTTGATATCGAGGAGAGAGAGAACGCGATGCACGTCGTTGAATATCGGCGATATTGCATGCGGAATGCGCCGCTGGTATAACGCGCGCGCGCACGCAGTTGTCGAAAAGGGTATAGCAGAACACTCAATCAGAATCAGAAATCCGCCAAACCAATGGCGAACTTCTGGCCGATGCGAGTTAGTCTGCGGGCCCCTTGGCTGGTACAACTTACAAAGTGGCTCTTGCCGCGGAGTTCGAAGACTGCCGCGAGTACCCACTCCCCCGTAACTGCAAAGCTTTAGTCGTACGTCGTCGCTCGAATGCACTCGCAAGTAGATTATACAGAATGCTAATAGGAGAACCGCTTTCATCGGTTCCGTCGTTAAGACTTCGTTTCGGATACCACCGGCCGACTCATGCCCTCTCTCTATCTCTCTCTCTCTCTCTCCTCCCCTCTTTCTCCTTCCCTCCCGTCGTCCGTTTCGTGCCGTGGTATCATAATCTTCTCTCGCTTCCTCGTTTACCATCCGACCGATATGCCGTGTCATTCACTTTACCCTCGGCCGTCGTCCAATTTAAAGAAGTTTCTCGAGCCGGTTTCGCGGTATGCCTCCCTCCCCCCCCCCTCCTCCCGGTATTTCCCCTGCATTAATGATGAAAGCTGCCATTGCCGGAACGACCGGCTCGCGCTATTTAAGGTTTGAATACCTACGCCGAGTTTAATCCTTGCGCACATCGTGCGCGCGGGTAAGTGGCAATTTCCATAGATAATGTTACTCGTAATTGTACGGAAATAGGATGATGCGTCGGAGATATGCGATTGCGACGGTGTGGGTGCACGATCATGCAGGATGTATCCGACTGCAGCTCGACTGTGCATTAAATAGCGTTGGCTGCCGTGGGTATACAATATTGAATGACATGTAGCATTATATACTTTTTAATACAATTAAAGAGAGAAAAACCTTTAACGTTCGAGGCTGAATCTTGGTGCCTAATAATATTTTCATGCGAATTCTAAATACATTTTTATTTTATATTATTTCACTTAACAGGCTACAGTTGTTAATGTTAACTTATTACTGTATATTTCTTAAATACGAAATAAGTTGTCAAGTTGATTGAGGTCTAATTTCTCACGAATATTGCGGCTATTTTCGACTTATTTAAAAAAAATTCAATAAAGTTTCGTTTTTATGATTTTTGAAAAATGAATCTTTGTTTACAGATGCATAATGTAATTAGAGTAAGTAAATACGCGATTATTCATTTTGTTATTTAAAGAAAGAGAGGAGTTTGTTATCGTGCGTTTGACATACTGCCGGAGAGCGCAAAATTTTTACCTCTTTATTTAATAATGGAAAGAAGAAAACTCGTATTACATCATACAATATTATAGTAAAGCACATCGTAGTTATTGAAGTGAAATATAAGAAGTATCCGTGCTCTTTTCTCAAGATTCTCTTATCGGCAATGCGGGCGATTCAAAACTCGTTATTTCTCGAATCTTTTTCGCATGCCTCAAAGTCGGCAAGAGAAAAAGGTTCTCTCTCTCTCTCTCTCTCTCTCTCTCTCTCCCTCTTGGAGTTATTTCCCATGAGTTACACATTACTTTCTGTAATGGCTTCTCGGTATTCATCCACAGAGAGTCTAAACGCATCTGTTCGATACGATAATTAAATAAGCTGATGCAATAACGATACGAAGCAGCTCGATTCGATTAAGCCATCGAAGCGGCAACAATTCAGCGGAAACACAAACGCAAGGATCGTTGTTCAAATATTACGCGCATTACAACGTGACGTCGTATTCGCCGCGCCGAAGCAAATGGATACGTATAATACAAACGATTTTCGCATTCCCTCTCGAAGGAGCTACTTTCGTAAGAGACCTACTAGAAAGGGGGGAGGGGGGGAGCAGGAGGGACCCTCCCGGCTTCGCGATGTAGGGTTCGTTGAGCCCGTAGCGTTTGTTGTATACTTTACGGTCTTCCGGCACGGTCTTCCGCCGTTTCGTACCGAAATCAAATTGGCATTCTCGGAGATACGGCCAGACTCTCGCATCCCATCTGTAGCAATCTAATCCCGCGCTCCAGGGTCCGCTCCCAGCTTCAGCCGGCAGCTGCAGCGGCTGCAGAGTGCAACGGCGGCGGCGGCGGCGGCGGCGCGGCGCACCAGTTCTCGCGCGCGCCGACCTGACCTGACCCCCTTTTCCCAGGTTCAAACCGACGGTCGGGGCGCGTATAGCCGGCCGGCTACTTACCGGGAACTTCGTCTCCCTCGTGAGATCATTCCGCATCCCCCTCACCCTCTCGGGCTCTCGTCCGACTGTGGAGTAGGTATAGTCCTCCGGCAAATATACCGTCGCCGTCGCCGCCGCCGCCGCGCTTTCTATTTTAACGGCGCGCAACTCGCGGGAGTGCTACGTCGTCGCGGTCTCTCGTCGCTTAAGAAATCTACCCTTCCTTCCCTCCCTCCCCCCCCCTCCTCCCCCGCGAGTAGTAAGTAGGCCGCCGGAGGCGCAGTTGGTGAGGGCTACATCAGGGGTTGAACCCCCGATTCTCCTTCGGGAACTCGCCCTTTCGCGCATGGAGAGCGCAGAGCGCCCGCCGGTTATATATCTGGTAAATAGCGCCGTGTTCAACGGGACATGCAGAACGAATGGTCCCTGGAAAGTGTAACGCGGTTTCGTTTGTGTGCCTTCTCTATAGCTACCGGTATTTCGCGCCGATCTTAGAATGGCTATTTTTTTACAAGTAACGCTCTCGCCCTTGGTTATAGACAATTTTAACGTCTAACGATTTTGTCGATTCGGCAATTTTGTGTCCGATTCGATTCAGCTGAATTAATCCGACGCTTCGCAATTCGATTAAATTAAAAACGCATGGACAAGGAGGCTAATAGATCTACAGACATGTATCTCTCGCTATAATTGTTACTGTAATTTTGATATCAGAACTTTACAGGAGTGCATATTCATTAATCGCATTTAGGTCAGCTTTAAGAGGAAACCTCAAATACACTTGAGAAATCTTCTCGCGTGTAGGAAAGAGAGTGGCTGCTAGCGGTGTATCATGAGTACACAGGAGGAAACTGATTTTCGGCGGAGGAGGTTCTCCATGTATAATTAGAAACTTTAATTTAGATGAATACTGAAGGTCCATCTTTTATTAAAAGTATATTTTATACTATTTACAGCGTTTTCTCCATTTGCTTGCTCCTATTTAATATGTTTAACATTATTTCGAAATTTGAAATATCCTTATTGCGACACGAATTTATAAACACATAAATTAGAAAGTGATGTATGCAATTTGTGTAATTTGTGTGCTGATATATGAATTATACGATTATATGATTTGCGTATTAAAATTCAACATTTTCAACAAATTATAAAACGTTGATGAACAAATTATAAAACGTTGATTGAACCGCCAAATAGACTTTCCGTCTTGTAATTTTACATCGATAATATAATAGCTTTACAGTGCTACAATCGGCAAGCGTAAAATCACATTACTCGATAATCGATCCTCCCCAAATATACATTGATTAACTGTTAAATGGTCTTATTGTGGATAATTGAACTCTCGGCTTTCATACACGGCTTTGATAATGCAACTTATCAGATAATGTTTTCGGGTCTCAATTATCGAGGATCTCCGTCAACGTTTCCGTCAATGCGCGCGCGCACACACACCGACGGTATTGTGCACGTCGATTCACATCCGGAGACATTTTGTAAGTAAATCTAATCCCGTCGTTCGTTCAAAGCCGTTTCGGCTTTACCGAATTTACATCGTATCGAGGACATTATAGTTTTATGGATGACTGAAGGCAGTCGTAGACAATCGATCAATTATTTCTCGAGGTAAAAATTATGCATTTGAGAATTTCTACTAAAATCGATTCGTGTGAAACATTGACGGCGTGAACAATTCAGTAACGACGAGAGAAAGAGAGAGAGAGAGAGAGCTACACAGAAGTATCTCATGATCGCGTCGATGGTTACGAAAGAAGCAATTTTTGCCATCCGTTGCTTTTAAAAATCCGTGCTAACCGGCGGCGGGTGGAGAGAGGAAGGGGAGCGAGCGGAGAAACTCAGAAAAAAAGAGAAGCGTGCGGAGTGGCAGGGGCGAGGAGGAAGGGACGGAGGAGGAGCACGGGTTCATGAGGAAGGAGAGAAAAAAAATGAGGAACGAGTGTCGTGCGCTCGCGACTGCGGGACGAGGAAGGGGGAGAGGGCACACGACTTTTCATTTCCGAGAAGGGCTGTAAAGATTGCTCGCGTGCAACCACCCTCCCTCCCTCCCCTCTTCCCCCCGTCACCGTTCCACACGTTGTTCCCGGCAGCAAACTCGCGCGGCCGTATTACCGCCATAATAATAAGGTTAATGCCTTGCAAATTAAGCGGACGCGAAAGACCTTTCGCGTGGTTTTATGCCCATTTTAGTGCCTGATCTTTGTCGACGAGTCGCAATTATCGCAATAGCGCCGCGCACCGATCGCGCGCGGGGTTTGATGGAATTCATTAGGATTCCCCCTTGTATCTTGAATTACATGAACAATCATAATGAGCTCGATTACATGAGC